TTGAAGGTGATCAGGTCGCCGACCCGCAGATCGCGGCCGAGCCGGTGCTGTTTGGAGATGATGTTGTATTTGGTCGTCGTGCCCAAGGTTGGGTACATGGACGCGCCGGAGGTGGACTGTATGCACAAAAGAGTAAATATATACATTTTTGATTGGGTGGGCTCGCAGGAAAAAGAAGGGGTGGGGGGTTGGTGGATGGTTGGGTGGGAGGAAAATGAGGAAATAGAAGCGAAAAGAAGGTGGGGGTTGGAATACGACGTACCGTCCAGTCATAGACGTATTCTCGGTAGAGCCATGCGCAGCTGAGGCCCCAGGTGAAGAAGCCAAGGGCTTTGAAGGTGCCGACGCTGAAGGTTCGGAGCTGGGACGACATCGCGGTGGTTGTGGGGAGAGGACGGCCAGCGGGGGGGTTGTTCCAATTCCGCAGCAGAATGCTATTGCCTGCTCTGTGGTTCCATGGTGCTGGGTTCTCTGGAACTCTGTTTTTGTTTCTCAGGGGGACGCTCTAGGCTCCGAAGTGGATCTGCCGCGCATCATTGTCTAGATCTGCCAACGAGGGATGGCAAGGTGGTATCGAGATCAATTCGAAGTTTGAAGCTTCATGCCAAGACATCTTGGTGACCGGATGCCAAGCCTTTAGTGTGATGCTATGTTTCTAACAAAATTCGTTTTAGTTGTTTGTGCTCCTTCACTCAAGCGTACGTACAACACAAGATAACCTTTGAATGAGGTTGTAGCTACAACCTTGAGAGACATCAGAGGATCTCTTCACCATCTATCAAGTTCGACTCCAAGAACATGCCTCCAATGGGGAGCTCTCAGACCCGCTTTGCACTTGAGTAGCAACTCTTAGGGATATTATTATGCTTCTATCTATGCTAGAGCTTGCCATCTCCATTTACCCAGGATGAAGCAAGTGTGGACAGGGAAGCTAGAAGGATATCTGTCTCGTTCCAGACCACGTCTGCCCAGGCGCTCTGGGAGAGACTTCCCAATCCTTTTGCTCTGTTCGTGCTCATTGCCGAACAGAGGGACTGTGTCTGGGACACAATCCGCAGTTTGAGAAGCCTTTTCTGACTCGAATCATGAAGAATTGGCTCGTCGTACTCATCGTCATCCTTCATTTTGTGCAGCGTATTCGGCCAAGTGCCTCTATCCCCGAAATGTACCCCTGACAAGATCTGGCCTCTATACCGTCCAGTGATGTGTCCGAAACGCCACATATTCTATAAAGAGCACATATTTGCATGCTCATTCGAAGTCGTCATCTTCGTGCGGAAATGGATCCGGTCTAGGTAGTCGTCCAGGTGATAGCAGTCCGGTGTCCAGCAAGTTATCTGCGCATAGCATACTGCGCCGATGACCAGGAGCACTCAGCTGCTCGCTTGTCTCCTCGGTCAGTTGCTTAGAAGCCTCCTCTTCGGGTTTCAGAACGCCATTTGAAACGTTACTTACGTTCCTAGACCTAGAAGCGTTCTTCATATTAATTGCCAGATGCAACTGCTCCAAGAACAAGCTCATCTCTTTGAAGCGTTCGGTGCCTTCGGATGACACAATCGAACCGTAGAATGCATCAGCATCCTCGAGTCTTCCCGCTGCAAGCTCCGTTTTGCCCAGCTTGAACCACTCATCAGCTGCCATTATACTCCAGAAGGCCGCTTTCCGCTTACGTCCGCTGAATGCGCCACTACCGGTGCCAACCTGAGCAGCAAAGCACGACGCTACTCTTTCAGAGACCAAGACATGGCCCACAGCACCAACAAGCCCAAGCTCCTGAATCCGGATTGCCCATTTCGCGGCCGTCTCAGCAGCAGTCCTGCCGCGGACTTTCAGAAGTTCAACCCCTAGGACTATGCAGCGAAGTGCATTCTGTGGATCAGAACAGCGTGTCAAGTAGGAATAAGATGCTGTTTCCATCATTTGATCAAATCCATCCACCCTTGTCTTCGCAGCTGTTGCCATTGGATTTAGCAAGTTGCTGATGGCGCACATTTCATTTGCTCCAGCATGATGTTTCCAAGCCTTGTCATTGCCGTAGTCTGTGCGCAGCATCTCGTACGTGCTCGCAGCAAGCTTGTAATCACGAAGCAGAAATGCATAGTCGGCGAGCTTGCGCAGGAGGGCTTCGGGTGTATCATAGCGGTAAATGCCTTGTAGAGAATCGTAATTGCCACTAACCCCTGAGCCGCTTCCACTTTGGGACGAAGAATTTCGGGATGATATTGAACCGAATCCAGTCCACTTCTTAGAGATAGACATGAAGCGGCCGCTGATGCCACGACGACGGGACGCGACCTGATCATTCCAAAGAGCAACTCGGTTTTCCATATGGGGTATCACGGATTGAGCGACCAGTTCGCGGACAAGAGACTTCAAAGCTGTGACGTCGGATTCGAAAAGGTAAGACAGATCAATGTCCATGTCGATGAGGTTATCGATTTCGTTGAGTCTGACAAGATCTTCGGCCGGAGAGAGCCATTCGCATGCCGGAACTTCCACACTGTCATCATCGCTTGGTAAGCATTCATCACTTCGAAGTCGAAGAAGGTGACAATGGATACCAAAATGGCGCTTCATTTGGTCGAAAAGAGCCTTGGATTTGGAGAGGTCGTCTCGGTCTTCGTCATGGACAAGGACATAGTAACGAAGATACTCTGGATTTACGAAGGATGGTGACACCTTGCTCCCTTGCGCTGTCTGGGCGTAGAGCTGCCTTAGGGTCTCGATTGGAGCTTCGTTGCCCGAGCTGATCGCAATCACGCAAGCTACTGGATGTAGAAAAGTTTCGTGAGGACTGACCATTGTGGCGGACAATAGTCGACTGAGGAAAAGGCGATAGTAGGGTGACATCTGTGAGGTCGTCCCATCAGGCCGCATGAGCCGTCCATCACTGCTATACGTATCCAAGCCGTCACTCGGCATTTCCATATATCTTTCCAGAAGCTCTTCGAGCCTTGTAAATGGGCTACCATATTTGGGGTTCATACTTCCACGATCGTTGCCAAAATCCTCTCCGAGATTTGTAAAGCGTACCCCAAAGTCGTCCCATGCCCTACTTGATCCAACACTGTCTCTGACGACCACCTTACCCGTGACTCTCTCACCAAATGGTCTAACCATTTCTCGGAAACCATTCTTGAAACCCTTGTTCCTAGCTATCTCATCGGTATCTGGTGATGCGTAGATCGCAACGGCTGGTGAGAAACTTCGGACAATCAATGATCTCGTGTCATCGTAAGTGTCTGAGTAACTGCTCAAAGGTGACGCTATTGATGATCTTCCCATACGGGATACTGACCTGGAAAGTCGGCCATGAGGAGATACAGATCGAGATATCCTTTCGGAAATGCCGATACTTGTAGGTGGTGTTGAGGCTGGAGGACTAGAGGTTCGTAGTGGAAGGCTTGCGGTGGATGTCTGCGGTGATTCGTCTCTCTCGGGTGATCTGGTCTTTGCGACTGGGAGAGGAATAACTGTCGACAAGGAAGGCGGCGGTGGCTTGACCGGCGCAACGTCATCTTCTGGCGATGTCATGGAACTAGACTGTTGTTCGCCAGAAAGTCAATGGCGCTGACGGGAGTACTCTTGCAGGGCATTAATGCCGTGCACGAAGGGAATTTGGACCTAGGTTGATGGCGCATAGCCAGTCCAGCCTACCGAAGTGGTTGGGGCCTTATTTTGCAATCTAATATGTCATATCCCGTCCTTTGCTCGTGACTGAGAGGTACTGTGAGAAGGCTATGTCATCTCGCCTCGGCGGCGGCGGTGGCGGTGGTGTTGAACCCCAAAAGAAAAGAACTCAGGGTGCCGCTTTTCTTGCGATTGCAGCCACTTCCTTCAAACACTTTTAGACAATCTTCCCTCTCGATAGGGAGTTCAGAAATATTCACAGGAAAACATCGTCAACACTCAGCTTGCCTCGATGCTGGTTCCGACTCCCAGGCACTGGTTGTCGCAATTTCGTGTTCGACATGAATTACCACCAGGACCCAGCGTTCGCTGATAGTGGTACGACAGCAGTCACTTTACTTCAGCCTTCTCCATACGATTTGAAGTTGCTCATCTCGGTAGTGATCACTATCGTGACATGCTTAGCACTAACCTTCCCTAATGCGCGGCCACCCTCGATCAAGCGGAAACTCTGGGAGACCTTCGTATACCTTACACCCTCAACAGTCATCTATGCTATGGAGTACCCATCCCGCAGAAAATGGCGGGGTGGGCCAGGCAATGTGGGCTTTAAGCGGAGTGATTTCGGCAATCAGCAGGCGAAGAGCGAAGCTCTACAGCGTGCTCTTGGTTTCGACGATTCTATTTCAAGTGTCGTGCAACACGCGCGACGTCTATCTGGCCTTGATCATGTTCTAGGATCTTCCGCAATTGCACCTGCTGGCCTTGGAAATTGGGACAACTCATGCTATCAGAATAGTATTATTCAGAGCCTAGCATCTTTATCCTCGTTCGACGATCACCTGGCCCTACACATGCAAAACATGTCTGAAGACGACAGCATGTCAACACATGATGCGCTCAGAAACATTATCGGTAGACTAAACAATCTTGACAACGAGGGTAAAAGGCTCTGGACCCCTATGGCCCTCAAATCCATGAACAGCTGGCAGCAACAAGATGCACAAGAATATTTCTCTAGAATCGTAGACGAGGTCGATAAAGAAGTCTCGAAAGTGGCCACAGAAAGAATCACAAAACTCGGGTTCTGTGATGAAAGAGATGCTGGCGGAATCCCAAAGGCATGTCAATATAATCCATTCCAGGGCTCACTCGCCCAGCGAGTAGGTTGTACGCGATGTGGATATACCGAAGGGCTGTCGCTGTTACCGTTCACTTGCATCACCGTCAACCTAGGGACGCAAAGGGAGTACGACATTCGGGATTGTCTTGACGAATACACAGCTCTAGAAAGCATAGAAGGAGTCGAATGCATCAAGTGCACTATTTTGCGCACCAAATCCTCACTTGAGCATGTTCTACTCAACATGAACATCCACGATGCACCACAACCCTCTGTAAAAGCAGAATCAAGCCCTGTTTCGACGTTGAGGAAAACAATTACAGAACGCCTTCAAGTCATCGAGGAGGTCTGCGAAGCCGGCGACTTCTCAGATTCGGGCCTCTACAAGAGATGCACCATCTCTGCAAAAAGTAAAGTGTCCTCAATCAAATCAAAGCAGGCTGTTATCGCGCGAGCACCAAAGGACCTCGTAATTCATGTCAATCGCAGCATATTTGACCTCGGCGGCGTTCAGAGGAAAAATCATGCCCGCGTGCGCTTTCCGCTAGATCTGCACCTTGGCAGATGGAGCTTGGGATCAAACTGCATAGCAACTGGTGAAGGGTTGTTAGAAAACTGGAATACTAATCCTACCGAGTCCATGTTACCAGAAGCTGGGGCTGAGCAATTAGAGGCCGGCAAGCTGTGCAAACTCCGTGCTGTTATCACACATTATGGCGGTCATGAGAATGGACACTATATCGCTTATAGGAAACGATTTTCCAATCTGAAGCAAAGTCATAGAACTCATGCCGAGGAACGAGACGAGAGCTGGTTCTGCTTCAGCGACGATGTCGTTTTTCCTGTCTCGGAAGACCATGTCCTTGCGCAAGGTGGCGTCTTTATGCTCTTTTACGAGGCCACAGACCACGCTGGCAGCACGGCTAATGTTCCAGCCTCTGCACTTATCGAGGAATGTGCCGCTACTGCTCAGCACCTTACTCCATCTATATTACACGAAGATGGTGATGCCCAACTTTCAACGATTGGAAATCTTGAGGCACATAAAACAGAAGTTGACTCTGCACAGGTTGCTCACACAACTGTGTCGAGCTCGGACATTAAGCTTACTGCCAAATTTTCTCCATCAACCGTAATGTCCCCGTCTCCAGAAGAGCCAGATGTCGACTTGAATGTCGTTGTGCAAACAGAGACCGCTAGTAGACCATCCGTTGCGTCGGTCATGCGTACATCAGGTGCCTTGTCACCGAGGTCTCGTAAAGGGCGACAGTCGAGCAATATCTCTATCCATTCTCCTTCTTTTGTCATTGCTTCATGACCTATGATTGCTTCTCTCAATTACATAGCGCGGCGCTTCAAAATCTAAAAGCATTGTATGATACCCATGCCAACGAGCATACGTTATTTGTCGTCGGATTTTCTGCGTGTTATTTTGAGATGGTGCAGCTTGCCGTACATAGACTTTCACTTGGGGCATGCTACAACGAAGTAGAAGGTCCATTAACACGCAAATGCTCATAAATCTCATTGATGACGAGGACATGTTGATCTTTGGAGTGATTTATCTTGGTGATATGGTCAATTCCTTAGTAGCATGGAATTGCTCCTCTAGCTGAATTTCAATCGAAGCCCGGTCCGTAGATAAGATAAGATCTAATCTGACATCATTTTGATCGAGAACTACTATCAATCTGGCCGTGTTACTCCTCTTTAAAGGCCCAGTCGAACACGAGGAATCTGCGTTAAGACTCTTTTGTCTCACTCATGCTCACCTCGAAACTTCTTAGACCACTTATACCGTCTGTATCCAATCGACTCAACGCGATCCGAGCCATGCATATCCAATCACTACCGATGTGTAAGCCACCCCCCAATCTCTAAACCATCCCTATTCCAACACTCATCCTCCAGGGGTTGGCAGCTCGAACAACTACGCCTACCTCGTCACCGACGAAGCGACCAAAGACTCCGTGATCATCGACCCAGCCAACCCTCCCGAAGTCGCCCCAACCGTCACAGAGCACCTCTCCTCCAACTCGATCAACCTAACCGCCATCATAAACACCCACCACCACTGGGACCACGCCGGCGGCAACGCCGGGATGCTCAAGCAACTTCCCTCCTCCTCAACCCCCGTCATCGGCGGCAAAGACTGCGACTGCGTGACCCAAACGCCATCCCACAACTCGCGCTTCCCCCTCGGCCAAAACATCTCCGTCACCGCGCTCCACACACCCTGCCACACCCAGGACAGCATCTGCTACTACATGGAAGACAGCTCCAAATCGCCGCCCGAACGCGCCGTCTTTACCGGGGACACGCTCTTCATCGGCGGCTGCGGCAAATTCTTCGAAGGCACCCCCGGCGAGATGCACACCGCGCTCAACGAGACCCTCGCCGCGCTCCCCGACGACACGCGCGTCTTCCCCGGACACGAGTACACCCGGTCGAACGTCAAGTTCCTCTTGCAGGTGGATCCGGACAACGAGGCGGTGAAGAAGCTGCGCGATTTTGCCGACGCCAATCAGGAGACCCAGGGCTGCTTCACCATCGCCGATGAGAAGCGCCATAATGTTTTCATGCGCGTCCGCGAGGAGGCGATGAGGAAGGTGACCGGGTGTGAGGAGCCGAGTGAGGTGTTGGCCAGGTTGAGGGAGATGAAGAATCGGATGTGATGATGGTGGAATGGTCAACTGAAATGAGGTGAATGTGAGATGAAGAATCGTATGTGATGATGGTGGAGTGGTCAACTAGAATGAGGTGAATGTGAGATGAAAAAAAAATTATGTATTATTTTATTCTACCTGGTGATGCATGTAGTACACGGTTGGCCCGTTTGTAAAGGGAACTTTTCAGCTGCCAATTCACGGCAGCGCCAACTACAATGTTCGTCGAGTGACGATGAGGAGGAGACAAGAAGGCGTCCACTCAAGCAAGATTTGCTTCGTTGTTAGAAGGACATCACTCAGTCTTGCGCTTCCATAAAACCGGGTTGTAGTGTAGTGGCTGCAAGGTCACGTAGGACTTGGGAGAATCCGAGATTATGTGTGTGATCATTCCTGTAGTTAGCAGGATGCCCTTGCCGTCTTTGAAACCCAGCTCTATGCTATGCAGTTCTTGCTCCTGCATTCCCTCATAAGCCCAAGCCGATTATGCAATTTCCCCTATTTCCCCAAAGACTCCCAAATGCCACGTCATTTCTCTCTGATGGATGCCTCGACCGCCGGAATCAGTACCGAGCAGTCTCTCAGTTCAGTCGTCCTTCTTCCTCCCCACCGCCTCCTCCCACCCTGGATGCTCAGAATGCTTCTTGAAGTAATACTCACTCTCATTCGCAGGCCTCAGCTCAGCACTCAACCTCTCCAACACCGTCTTCTGCACAATGCTCGCCGATTTCTCATCACCCTTCTTCAACCAAATACTGACACAGACCCAATACAACCTCGGGCTGAAGCTCATCCCCAAGACATGATCTCGAATCCCAGCTTCCGCCAGCGCGGCCTGCAACTCGCCACCACAACCCATCAGGCAGATCTCCTCCCAGACGCGCTTGGGTTTTTCGTCTCCTTGGTTCTGGCGTCGGACTTTGAGGGTGAAGCAGCCGCCGTCGAGGTTCTCCGGGTCTTCCCAGAGAGGTTGCACGCCGGAGCGGAAGATGTGAACGGTGTTGCGGGATTGGATGGATGACCAGGGGATGTTGTTGAAGATCTTGTAGAACTGGCCAATGTCGGGGACGGATGAAGCGAGGGTGCTGAGGCGGTCAGTGTAGTTGGCTGCTGTGCTGGCGTTTCCGGTGGTGTCCGACGAGACTGCCTTTTCGTAGTAGACTGACCAGACGTATTGTAGGGGAAGTGGGCGGAGCTTGGTGATAATATTTTTGTGGAGGGAGGCAGACTTGCGGGTGGTAAGGTTAGTATGATCGGGACTTGGATTAGTGTCGCCGTTGGTGACGGAGATGGTTGGAGGCTGCATGATGACCGGATCTGCCATGCCTAGAGCTTTACGAATGAGAGATTCGGCTTCTTGCTTCTCTTGGGCTTGGAGCTCGGTTGTAACAGGTTGCTGCTCGATTGGTACGGGAGGCTGCTCGTTCGAAATAGAAGGTTGCTGGCTGCACGCAGATTTCGCCAACTGGCCACGAAAAGCCGCGAGATACTCAACGGGGTCGAGGAGCAAAACTGCCTTTGCGCTGCTTGGGATGTAGGTCTTGAAACCCAAGGATTTGGTGGTAGGAGTCAAAAGACCTGAATCTGCTCGAGAGACATACTCGTCAACCCAGAGGACTTTCTCACTCAAAGAGGACGCATCAGAAGAGCTGAAGAGGATAGGCATGATGATGTTTTGGCGTTGGATATGTGTCAATGCAAGACTTGACTGTGAAGGCAAGTAAAGGATCCCGAGAGTCTGAAGAGAGTTGGAAGGGTGGTTAATGGATTTAGATGGGCATGTTGAGAATGTGATTCAGAGTTGTCACCGAGATTTTGGGACACTTCACTCAATGAATAAGAGTTGCCAGAGTGAATAAGAACAATAGGGCCTTTGCCAGCCGAGATGTCACCGCCACCATTGCACCAGGTTGGGAACGAAGGCAGAATGTGGTTTGAACACTGGCATTTGGGTAGGGAACCGCGAAACAGGTACTTACGTAGTGTGCACCTTGTGTTCAGAAGTGAGTCACGTCCTCCCAGCTAATCTTCACGATTTCAAGGCTGTGCGCAGTCCTTTAATCCTAAAAGCACTCTTTAATGCCAACACAGAGGATTTGTATCCTTCCTCTTGGACTGTTCTTCTAGTGATCGGCAGACGAAAAGCAGATCTAGCAGACAACAGGGAATCGGTCACAGCAGCAGAGCAGAGCTTTAAATTGACGAGAAACATCCAATTTGCTGGCATGAACGTAACCGAACGTGTCTCTGGGATGTTTTAAGCGCCCAACATCACCACATTCTCGACGCGATGAAACGCGCCCCTGAAACGGAAAGGATTAAAGTTGCATTAGTGCTGTCAATGCCGGCAGCTAGTGGTTAGCTCATCTTACATCAGCAGTGGCCAAGGTCGAATCAAACACCGTGACTTTTTCATGCTGTGATATTGATGTCCACAAGAAAGTATCCAATATCTGCAGCATGGGTACGGATCATAAGCGACGATTGCCTGTTGAATTTCCAGGTGACAGACGCGTCACAAAGCGGCTGCGAAGCCCTAACACGGGTGAATCTTCGCAGTTGCAATCCGATGCGACAAAGAGAGAAAAGGCAAGCCTTCACGGCAGCAGTGTCCTGGCAGGTTTGGCCAGAAAAAGTGACCGTGATGGGGTCGTTGAAACAGGACACGGCGACACCGATACAAGCTCCTCAAGCTCCGATCTCGAAGATACTTCTGAAGAGATAAGCAGCGTCGATAAGGATGAGACCAGCTCGACACGGGTAGGCGGGACCGACAAAGGCGACTCATGCGAGGACGATGACTTGATCCAAGACCTACCTGTACCCAGAAAGCCACTTATGTCTGTATCTCATGCAACGTCTGATCTCCGCACGAGACTTTCAGCCTTCTTACCTCAGCTGCAGAAAGCAAATGCGGATCTAGAAAATGCGACAGAAGCTTGCCTTAGACCTCTCGACGAGGTCGCCGATGATGAAGACCATTACATTGAGATGAACCTCGGTCTTGGCGTTCTGAAAGAGAAAAGGCCACCCAGTGCGCAAGTAGATGGTCTCAGGTTGGCAGATGAGGACGGTACAAGCAGCAGTGAAGATTCTGGTTCAGATCCTACGGAGGCCAGGGGTAACGTGGTTGACCAGAGTGTCGAAAGCGCCGCCATCACGAATTTCATAGGAGCGAAGCGGTCCGGGAGAGAAAGGCCGAGCATTCAAGATCTAACAGATGGTTGCAATGCGGACGGATGATCTGGTAGCAAGCGATGAGTTAGGATGTCTACATCTTCGGGATCGGAAGAGGCGAATCATGGCTAGCCAGAGACACGGCCTCCGCTGGTACAGAGATATTTCGAGCTAGGCAACTACATAGTAATACCTGTGGTGCATATACAGGATTGACTTGCCATGGCGATATGCAAAGCCTCGGCTCATCGACATAAGGTGGTATGCTGAACGCCTTGAAATGCTATTACTCAAGGAAGGGCTGGGGAGCAAGAATGGGACCGAAGCATATCCGATTCATCAACAGCGATCCGCCGGAATCGGAAGAGTACGTAGGGTGTGCAACATGAGGCAAATAGCATGTGTCATCGGATGACACCGAGCAGGGCTGGGTTTCAGTTAGAGCAGAAAAGCACTATTGCAGCAATTCAGGTGTGTACCCTATTTTACAGGGTTGGGACGTTACGTTCGAATTGTGTACATGGCTGCAGAGATAAGCCTCAACCTTATGTCGTAGATTAACACTATTGAAACGGATGCTCTTGTAGCCGTAAGGGGACAACATGTTGCCTCCAGGCAGGAAAATTACCCATGGATTTAGTTGTAAAGTCCAGTGGACAATTAACCATCCGTGACTCGTCATTCTCTCGAGAACTTCGCCCTGATAGGGGCTTGGATGTCAGCATGGCGTAGACTGGTAAATCTTATATCGCGTGCACTTAAATGCGGGAGAGCATTGGACTGGAAGGATTCGGTCTGGAAGCGTGTTTGAAATAGGCTACAAGGATGGCGCCGCAAACTCGTACAGATCTCAAAGGAATCGTTGTGGATACAGGAGAGATAAATGAGCAAAATGCTGAAGGTTCGTTGCACAACCGATTCTTTCTGAGCCGCCTGTAGTTAAGGCCGCATGAAATTCGTGAACCGGATTTTCGCCGCCCGCCGATCCTTGAGGCCAAAGACCGATACACTTCGATATGGTTAGGCACCTCTATCGTGTGACCCAAAGCAGATATTGCGGAAAAGGCAACGAAACTCAAAATTGAACTGGCTTGCTCATTTCTTAGGTGAGAACACAAACCCAAAAGATAGAGGAGATACTTAGAAATCAGCTATCGATCTGGATCATGCGAGCATAAAGCAAAATCTCCAGTGTGACGCCTGCAACGATGGAGTACTCAGGGGTATTCATGGTATTCTCTAGATATCCCAGCACTTCCTTCCAATCGCTTACGGTCAAATTCCATGGAAAGGCAATCTGAAAAATTGCCTTGCCTACATGTACCCACCCCTGCCGCCGCTTGCCTTTGGTACAATCTGGGAACATAAATTGAGGATGCCCCAAAGCGTAGCGCCTTGATGAACCTGTACTGCGCCTTTGCCACAATTAGGGTTTTGGAGCTAGCGCAGCTTCAAATTCGAACTCAAAAGCACATCTAGCAAAGACCGAGATGACGTCTTCCCTGATTCGGAAGCAGAATGACCAACCACGGAAGCAAGCAAACATGGACTTGAACCTAGAAAGATTGAACCATGCTAGAACATTTATAACAGACCAAAGTTTGGCGCAAGTCTTGGTATTGCTGGCCAAGATCGTCAAACTTGAAATTGCCCGTGCTGCCAGTATTCCAGGCTCGGACATATTGAGTCACTTGAAGATGCTGGAGGTAGAGGAATGATTCAGCACGTCAGAAAAGATGGTGATACCCACCCAATCAGGGAGTAGAAGGTCTGGGAGCCACGCAGGCTTTCAGGCACCAGCTAGTTATTCCAAGCTGCAGAACACGATGCCTTCCTAGCTGGCCTGACTTTAGTGGTGTTGTGTAACATTTGCTCATTATGCAAGGCTTATGTCGTCCCCCACTACGTAGTAGGTAGTAGCTTGAGTCAGTTGCAGCAGGGGTGCAATCCCTTACAATCCCTTGCCACCACTCCACTAACGTAGTCCAGCTGCAACGGGCATCGACCGGCCTGCTGCTTATTTGCTTACCCGTCCATGAAGGTGCTGCTAGCCAGTTTGAAGCTACTACCTATGCAAAAGATGGGATGGATTGCCAAACGTCATGCATGCGGAGGAAATCGCCAGCCACTCTGCCAAAATATTGCAGCTTTATGAGATTCTCGCTCTGGCAGATGGATGCCTTACCTCCTCACGATGGTTTACATCAGTCCATCATAGTTATCTTCCTGCTATAATCTTGAGAATAAATGATGATTTACATTTGCTATCCACATTCGACACTTCCATCCCAAGACATCAAAGGGATAAGTAACGAAGCTTACCAATTAACTTATTAGTATGCTGGGTACTGGCGTCGATCACTTGCACTACGTAAGGTGCCGCAGCGGTGGAACTCGACTTCCTCTTCTTACGGTTGGAGACGAGTGCAAGCGATGACTCTCGCAACATTTGGTGTTATACGAGGATGCGACACTATGGGAAAGGGGCTAGATCCCATGTTATGTCCCGAACAGATTGCGGAAGTATCGTGGTAGTCCCGCCGTATTCGGTAATTGTATGCTAGTATCTCTAAATGTTTAGCGAACCACTAGATGAAACTGCATCCAGGGCGTCAGTTGCACCATGCAATTGAATGAACAAACCCTCTGGCTGCGAATTTATGGACATATCCACGCGAGATCAACGACGCTGCCTTCTGCCTTCCATAGACACATTGATAGTGGGAGCATATCCTTGGGCAGTTCGCATGGAAATGCTGTTCAGGCGCCTAATTGTGTCATATTTCGTCGTGTGCGGAGTGGGTCTCAACGGACATCGATATAACAATCTAAATGATGGCCCCACGACGAACTAGGCTAAGGCTTGCATACTGACAAGCAGTGTTAGTTTTGTCGAACGTCTAGAAGCCGGCCACTTTCACAGAACGAGGGATAAGAGTGAAGAGATGACGAAGCGAAGGGATGCTACAGGCAGTTGTGATTGAACTAAGATGCAATGTGCAAAGGACTAAGTAAGAAATGGTGCGTAATAGCCCCGCTGTAAGCTGCACGGCGCATACTGCACGATGGATCATTAGTTACATAATTGAGTCCTCGTATCGATTTAGCGAGACCAGTGTCTGTTTGTGTCTCCCTGCCTGTCTATCAGGCTGTCCGTCTGCTCCCGGACCCCACCAGCCAACCCAACGCCCCGGTCTCGTCGCAGCTGTGACATTTCCTGCGACTAATTTAGTCCAGTAAAGTGGGTCGGTTGGGCTAACCATAGCGGGGAAACATCGTTTGAAGGATCACGATCTTTACTCTAGTAGCAAGAGTCACCCTCTGAATATCTGACCAAAACGAGATAGCAAATGTACTACGCATGGGGCACTAACTGAAACCGAGCTTGTCATGTCAGCCTCTCTTCTTGTCCTCAACTCTGAGGCACACAATACGCAGGGTTACTTCCTTCAGACCATTCCATCTTACGAGTCAGAAGCTACCCAACTGGTATGGCTTGCTGAACTTGACAGGCAATCGGAATCCCTGTCTTGTAACTATGCTCGTCGTCATGTGGCATGCTGTTGGCCAAAACCCTTTCCTTGCTTCGGCAATGCTGATAATGGTCATGGGTTACTACGTATTCATTGCGCCGATATATCTCACTAGCAGTATGTAAGAGCATGGCCTTGGCCGCGTGTCAGACTTTCAGACCCATTTCAGTGTCCATACGATACAGGCACCCGAATTTGTTACTTCCTTGGTTATGATGAAGCGAAAAGCACACCGCCACAGGACTTTGCTCTAACTAAACTCGACGCTATCTCGGCTAACTACCAAGTCTTCCATCCATACATACGGTGTACTAGAGTACTCCATGCTCTGAGTTCGCCAGCACGTTTCTATCTCGTCTGGTACCGCCCATTTTCCGCACTATCTCCGAAAATGCAATGTTATTAATGTTATTGACTTCGGCAAATCAGCGTCCTGCTGGAGGAGGCCTAGCCTCCATTCCGTAACTGGCCTGTACTACGTATGTATGTACGAGTACAGCCTCGGGCCCCGACTTGTCGTTTGTTTCCCGGAGCTGAAAGGCTCAGCGTTCAAACCCTTGCGCGGCAAACCTCGTGATTCACGATTCCCGGGCCGCAGGGGGCAACACTATTTCTTGTCATGCACCAAAAGTCCTCCAATGCAGCCTTGAAACCTGATCCTTTCGTGCTCTTGGCTGCAGGGCCTTTCTGACTTGACCTTTCCACGGGCAGCATGTGTGGCGGTTTGTGAGATCCATGGCAGCCACTGGCCGATGGGTGTGACGGAGACTCCGTACCCTGTACCGGTTGATTGGCACCGCCTATCTTGTGGCCCATGGAAATGCTACTGTTGCAACCACTGCAGTGCGATAGGTTTGGCCGTCCCTTGGCAGCCTTCAACGCTAGAAAGAGGAGAGAGGAGTAGATTGCTCCACCTCATAAGCCGTCAAGCGTCAATCGTCAATCATTAATCCGTGTCTAACCTTCCACATCCTCATTTAGTCTATCAGACTTTGCACATCGCCCGTCTCGCATTCGCGCCCAGCACCTTCGAATCCCGTGCTCTTGTGTCCCTATTCAGAGTTCGGCGTAATAGTCCTTAATGTATCCAGTGGCTGATGAATCCATCGAGAATTGGCGCTATGCAAGTTTCCGATCATCGCTGCACCGTCTCAGATCCATTCCCATGTTGACAACCACCCTGGCTGGCCACCAAATACGTGCTTCCTTTTTAAGTCTCTCTGACCGTTGCTGCTACCATGTTGGAACTTCTTGGTTGTAAGAGTTTCTTCCATGTGTCACATAGTTCCTGCAGGTAGGCGCATCCGATGTCTTTACTAGCCTGTTGAGCCATTGGCCGTTGCACATATCCCAACCAGAAGTATTCTACGTTTCCTCAGCTACCTTTTGTCAGCCTTTGGTTGTTTTTCAATTCATCTCTTCTCTCTCCACGTTACTTCTCCAGGGGAAAGCAGGCTGTGATATGGATCTCTCGAATCAATGGTATAGTACCATGGCCTACCAACGCCTCGACCAAGCGGCCTCTTCTCAACCTCAAGCATTTCCCACCAATATCTCGTCATACTTTCGACGGCCTACCAAGGTAGTGAAAACCAACAGCAGAGGCAGCAGTCCGAAGAACTTGTCAAGAAGGAGGACTACCGCTTCCCACTCTACTAGACATCACGTGGCATCGAAAGGATCTATCTCCAACTACAACACACCTGTCGGTGGTAGCAACAATACCGTAGCGACCACGCGACCCACCAGCTGGCATCCAAACTCAGCGGCCAAGGCAACACCCATGAACGATTGGATGAGTTCATGCCAATTCCCCGATTCGACATACGCTACGTACTTTCCCAATTCTTTCGCAACCACCGAAGTCAATGGTCTGGTGACACCACTGACCCAACCCTCTTCGGCTGAGTCGTGCTATCAAGAAGCGTTCACACCACTTGAAGAGATGCAGTTTCAAAATCTCGACAACACATATTCCTTCCCTAGTCAAGCCGGCCAGGACGCATTTTGGCTACCGCAGCAACCCCTGACTCTACGGTATCCTATACACCAGCCTTCTATTTACCAACAATCACTACCAAGTGACCACCAAATCCCCTTCACCTACACATCCGCACCTGATTTGACCACAGGCACAGCGCCACCAACACCGGATTTGGTGGCGATTTCGAATGATGCAGTCGGCGAAAGTGGAAAGCCGTCGGTGGTGCCACAGACCGAGGACGAGGTGCTGGTAGGGATGGGTCTCTACGATGCGCCCTCACCTTCAAACTTTACTACGTCGCACGAGCGTCAGATGGTTCTTCCTCACAGAGGATCTGCAGGCAAGGGATTGAAACTCGAGGAAACCTTTCACCCATCGAACGAAGATGCTAGTGAGAGCGAGGATGACCTCAGCAACGACGAAGACGAGGAGACTGAAGCGACTGACCCATTTCTCTCAGCACCAGATCATCAGAAGTCCCAGCCAAGTGAGCTTGCATCACATCCGGCCATCGCCACACTCGCAGACCAATCCTTCTTTTTTGAGAATGACCCTGACGGTGATCAACTTCAACAAGCTCATGAACAGCACTTCACGGCCCCCATTTGGACGGATGTCTACAGTGGTGCTCCCTGTCAATGGATTTAGGAAAGGTTAGATTGAATGTGCTCAAGCGGTGTCAAGATAAGCGCCTGTTATTTTGCATGCTTTAGCGATGGCGCTGGATGGCAGGAATTACATCCCATTCTGGGAGAATGAACAGTATCCTCCTTTGGATCGTTTGGTTTCTTCCAATGTACATAGGTAGCTGTTTTGGTGGATAGATAGAAACCTGTTTCGGAATCCAGACTCCGGTCAGCTCGTGGCATCACAGCAATCCATTCACCCAATTGTTTGTACCGTATCACAGTCGGATCGAGGTGTAGTGCTGGAGGAGGGGCGACTGCAGTGACATGAGAGAATCCCAGAAGCCTACGTACCTGGTACTTAGTAGGAGAATATATCCATGATCATGCTAAGCTTCGGTGACGTTGATAGTACAGCCCTAGCTACCGTAACCCTTAGGTAAGAGGCTTTTCCTTTTCCGATTAGCTGTCTTTTAACAATGCTCTACGCCAAGTTTGGTATGCCAGAAATTTGGGGCAGCCTGGTGATACTCTCTATGCCCTCTTTGGGTCTTCATCGATACAACCGTGTTGAAGCATGATCCTACCCGAGCCTCTGCAAGCTCGCATCAAGCTCTTCTCTGGTGGGTCGTCGCCGGCTTAAAGAGTGTAGTGCCCTAATCCAGAATTGAGACATACCCTGCAAGCCGTCACCCAGATCGAAGATGATGCCAGTCCGGGGATTTTATCCTGACGAACACTTCCTGTGCCATGACAAAAATCTCTTCGGAAACCCTAAGAAGGATTGACGCCGTCAAAACCGTCCGCACAACATGCCTACCACGATCCCTTACTCGCAACTAAATCCAGCGCCTTGGAAGCACCCTTCAGAGCTTGCCATGGTTCGTGATTGGTTTTATCCAGAGCACATTTCTCGCAACTTCTTCGATCTTGCGGCCTCATCACACATTGATCGACGTCAGGACGCTATCAACCTCGTATCTCTTTGGCGATTTCATGAGCCAAAGCTCAACCATGCCTTGATATCTACAGCGAACCTCACCGATGCAATCCTACATGACCAACCCAGCAAACGAGACAATCTCTCTGGTATAGCTTTGCGCAGCATCTACGCCATGGCTTTCTGTCGCTTCGTCAATGCGCTTGTGGATAGAGACGTTAGAAAGAGCACCACCACCACCATTGCTAAAGACAATGTCGCTGCGGACGCGGATGCAGGGTCTGGTCCTCATCGAGGACAGAGCAGCATGTACGCTCACGCTCTAGAGCTGGGGCTCCCAGAGACCTTTGTGGAATTGAGACATCAAGCCATACACGAGGAAATGCCAAGCCTAGAGGTGCTGAGGATGAGGACAGGAGAGGCGCTGGAGTGGTTGTGGCAGAGGTGGTGGAAGTTCAATGTAAAGGGCAGTGCTCAGCCAGCATTGAGCGAGTGGGAGGAGAGGCATAAGGAATGGCAGAGCGCGGCTGAAGAAGAGGGCGGACAGAATCAGTTGGGGCTCTGCCAACGGTGTCGAAAAAGAAAGCATTCTGACCTGAGTGGCAACAAGGAAATCGAAACGAACGCTGGTCCAGGGGCAGAACATGACTATCACAGCCTCCAGCGACCGAAGCAGCAGAACTTGGACAAAGAAAAAGGAAGCCACGATTCGTCGAGTCCAGAATGGCAAGGATGGGTGATGCACTTCTCTAAAGGATCTGGAGGACTTTCTCGGCTAAAGGAAGCCCCAGAATACCGTCAAGACAAACGAGACAGCCTGCCAGCTTCATCAAAAGAAGCACTTGCGAAGTTGGAGTACGACGCTAGGTCGAATTCCAAGACCTGATACGCACATGTTCGCACTCTATAGCCCACCTTGTTTGTCATCAGTTCTGGACGTCCCTGAAGCAGACATCCAATGCTTCAAGCAGCACCACTGCTGCCAGATAGGCTGTGTGGCCAAGCCGATACCGCAATCCCCCATCTCGATTGCCTTGGTGCCCAGCAATGATATCCCTCTTCCATGGCTTCAGGTTCACCGCTATTCCCCACAGGGCTTAATCCACAAGCATATACACGCCTCGGCAACGAAACGATTGTCGGACGTACTTTGCAGTCATCCAGGTCAGATAGATTGGTCATCACGAGTAGAGAACAGAGATGCCACCTCTTCCAGCTCAGCGCTCCTAGGCGAATCTCATCCCGAGATTCTCAGGCAAGGCTCTCGGCCTTTGCTACAATCCTAGGTCCTAACTGGACCTGAAGCTGCAGAGAGACCTTTTGCCTCAGGTATTCCACCTGCCGATGCATGTTCCTAAATTTGTCTTAGCAGGTCTCGAAGAATATATGAAGGTGTTCCTAGTCACATTCCAATGTACGATACATTCCTCTCTCTCCCATCCACTGCCCCTCGTCGAGTCTTCCTCTTATGATATAGCTGACGAACGCTGTTGGGAAGGAAGTCATCGGAAGCTGTAAAGTCGTCCTTTGAGTGTCGCTTTGTTACGAAACGACCAAGGCCCGCTGCTTGTGACCGACTACTCTTGTATGGATTATATATACTGCACAGTAAGACGCAACGTGCAGCTCAGACCTTGGTGCATTCGCCCGGGGTTTTCGACTTGGATCAGCCAATGGCAACTCATGATAGTTGCTGTCGCTCGTTGGGCCAAGACCTCATGAAGAGAGCAGTTGAGAGCGGGACCCAGATTTCATGCATCTCCCCCCGCACGTTTTCTGATTATTGCATAGCTGGTAATACGGTGCAATAAGTGGCGAAGAGATGGCACAACATCATTGTCTGTGCCTGGTGTCAATTTTGGATGGGTATCACTCTTCATAGAATTTCATCTCTTGCGATCTGGTCTGCGAAACGCGTGTTCAGCGTAGTGCTCGTGATAGGGATAGGGCAGGTTCATTTGTATGATGGTTAATTTACCAGAGCGTGGATACCAAATGCGATTTGAGAAGCCAAGCCGGAAGTGGGTACAAGAAGAAAGGCCGATGATAAGTTGAAATACCGAAAGGAAGCCATCAGGATCGTATGTCTACTTGGACGTCTCGTGCATTCTCTGTTCACGAGGCGTGTGGAAACAAGTCCTCTGAGGCGATGGGCGGCTCAAACGCGAACTCCAGCTCTGCGTCACTTGCTTGATCAGTGAAACGAAACAGCATCCTGGTGATCCAATAACCCTTCCGAACGAAGCCATCCATCTTCTTACCCCGCTCTGGAAATCTCTTTCACAGTGCAGACACCTCTTCCCCACCACCAACTGGCACCTCTGCTCCTCCTACTCCGGTAACATAATCATCGCGACACCCACACCTGAATTTCTCTTTAAACTCCACCTTCGACATCCCCCTAAGTAACTGCAACGCGTTCTTACTCGCCCTGACCTTAGCATACCGACTACTAGTCCCCACCGCATCACTAAGCACCACATTATGAATCACAACCCCTGCCGTGATCTTGGGTGCCGCCTTCGTCGCTGGGAGGCTGGTCGACTCGGACGCAGGGTTAGAAATCAAAACCCGGTACTGCTGGCACCTGTACTGCTTCGTGAGGATATTGTGTAATTCGGTGGTGGGGTGTTTATTGGCGAAACTATCATACACGGCCATATCCGAGAAATACCAAGAGATGTGCCTCTCGAAGAATTTCTCCACCTCGCGGTAATCGAAGTCGGAATCCACAAACACGGCACCGATATACGATTCCACGGTATCGGAGAGACATTTCGGGGCATCTTCGATCTCAGTCCAAAAATCAATCTGATTGTTCCGCTTCGCTTCGGCGAGCTTATCGCGGATCTTGAAGGCGTATTGATGAATCTGTTGCGGTATGTGCACGCCGCTGTAGTAGAGGTACTTGTCGAAATCGAGGTCAACAGCGACGGCGCCGAGGAATTTGTTGGACACCATCGCCATCTTATGCTCGGTAAGCCACTGCGGGTCGCGGTCGGGGAAGCGGTCGTAGAGACTGCGGATGCACACCATGTCAAGGATAGAGTCGCCAAGGAACTCTAGACGTTGGTAGTCGGGCACTATGGAGTCAGTGTAAGACGGGTGAGTCATGGCGGAGCGGAGGAGTCGGGGGTGTCGAAATGTGTAGCCCATTCTTCTCTGGATTTTCGAGGCCGCGCTGTCGACACCATGTGTGAATCCATCTGGACTAGTGTTGGTCGACCATGCCGGAGGCTCATATAGGCGAGAGTAGTCAGACCAACTTTGGATGTCGTGGTCTTTAGAATTGACAAGCTTAGTGACGGCGCGGATGGCCATCTCATAGTTGTTGGGTCCTTTTGATGAAAGCAGAGCAGCACCTATCAACGCCTCAGATACATCTGCAATTGTTTTTTGAGCAAGAGCATGCTTCGGAGTTTCGTGCTTGACAGGCTTCATATTGGCTTGTGGCGCGCCTCTGCCACTTCGAAGAATGAGGCCTTCAGGGTACCAGTAGTGCCTGTTGAACCCTTTCGTGCGCACGTGTTGAGTAAGACCTAGACTCGGATCCACTGCTACGTTGAACAGGTTCAAGTTGCAGATCATCTCCATCCGCTTAACGTGAAAGCCAAGTTCGTCAGACTTGGGATAGCGTATGAACACCATAATCGTGGTCGTCATCTTCAAGAATGAGTCTCCCAAGAATTCGAGTCGCTCATAATTCTTTCCCATGCCGCGCTGAAAGTGTATCTGCTGTTCGCGATGTTCCTCGGTGTTGTCAGAGTCTTTCGTCATTGCTTCTAACGCCAGCTCTGGTGCTACATCGAGATCAAGCTTCTGGCACGCTTCAGTTGCAATGAGATACGAGTCCAAACGGCTCATGATAGCTGGAAACACTAATGCAGTAGCAATAAAGCCATGCGGAAGCTAGAGGGGTCTCAATATTAAACATCAGGCAAGGTTGGATTCTTGGTACTTACTTTGGAAATGGTTAGAGGTTCTGGGCAGATATAGTACTCCCGCGTGTACTCTACAAACTCCTTCGATTCGGCTTTATCCAAGAAATTTCGCCTGATCTGCACAAGCTCTGCTCCAAGGACAGGCTGTGATGGGTCGCAGTCGCCTAAGAACCTCACCTTTGAACTTCCGTAAAGGCTCAAGGTGTATTCCAAGATCTTCTCCGTTTTTGCGCCCTTATACCGTCGATCCGGCACGTCATTGGGCACTTGAGAATTGATGTTTAGATCCGGCAGCACAGCTCTAGACCAATAACGATATTTCCCACTCCATTTGTCTATCAAGAACTGGTCGCGCCAAGAATTTGGATCTGAGCCTCGGGACCATTGGATTGGTTTCAGATCATTCGAGCCGTCTAGATCGACAAGTTCCTTCAGATCCGGCGGCACGATATCGCCTGGTCGCCATTTCGTGGGTGCTAGCCAGTATGGCATTTGAGCATCTTCAGCCTCATATTCCTTGTTGAACAGGTCGTGAAACGCTTGAAGGGTGAATTGTTTCAAACACAACAACATCGTATCGTCGACAGCAAAGGGACCCGTCTCATGGGAGAATGCAACCTCTGTCTGGATGTTGCCATCCAAATACACTGGGAAATTGGGGACAGGAGGCAATGCAGATCTGGTAAGCAGGACCAGTGGATCATGCGGTCGTCTTAAGCTAGCCAATGGGACAAGGTAGATTACTGTTGCAAACAACATATCTGGCACTTGACCACACTTTGACGTCCAGAACCCGGGCTTGACGAGCATTTCGTACTCGTCTTTCTTAGCCGCTGACAGGGCAAGTCTAGCATTAGCGTTCTTGGGACGCTGCCTCAAGAAAATTGAGTTGAGATTGTCGTCAAGCAGACCTCTAGCTCGAAGTGCATAGCATGTCTCCCATGCTGCCGACTGTTTAGCACTGGTCTTTTTTGGGAACGCTTCTCCGGTCACCCCTTTGATTGGAGAACCATCGGGCAAGATGGTCTTAAACCTGAACATGCCTCCCGCGATCTCAGCTTCATACATCACTCGAGACATGCCTGGATTTTCGTACTGCAAAGAACTTGCATATCGATCGAGGTATAGGATACTTGTTCTGTAATTGCACAGTGTTCCAGCACCTGTTTCGAACGTCTTATTCGGTCTCTGTTTGCTGAAAGCTCCATGAACGCTGAGAAGCTCATTCTCCAAGAAGCGATCTTCGTCCATGTCGGATAAGAAGCGCCGGAGCTGTAATTCATGATAATGCGCATCTTCGATTTTCACCCTGTCAGATGCATTCCCTCTTTCTACCATCTGGCCGTAGATTGAACCCTTAGCGCGAGCTCGACCCCTGCTCTGCACGTACTGAATCATGGTTTTGTAGAGGTCAAACCTGATAACAAGATTACACTCGGGGCTATCAATACCTTCCTCAGCAACAGAGGTACAGAAGAGGCAGTTGACAATGCCACTTTCGAATCTCGCTTTTAGGTCTCGAATCTGTGGACCGGTAACACCTGCTTGCCCGGATTTGTTGCCCCCAATCCCTAGAAACTTATCTGGTCGAAGGTTTGGGACATCTAGACGTCGAAAAAGATCATGGAGGACCCGAGCAGTGATTCTTTCATCTACAAAGACGAGACATCTTGTGTTTTCGTTTCCTCCGAAATACTCACATAGCTTGTGGTATAAAAGAAGTACTTTTGAACTCAAAAAGTCACGAGTTGCTGCAGGCTCAGCAAAGTGATGAAGTCTGATCATCTCCTCAGCTCGCTTCAGTTTTCGGAGACCTGTAGCCTTGTCTAAACCCGCCACTCCGCCACGAGGAGATTCGAACCTTTCGTATTTCCGTAAGATCGTATGGAGGTGTTGCTCCTCAAAAGCATATTTCCATACCTGGTCCGCGGACCAAGCGCCAAGCGCTGCACTGATAGCTTTTGCTTGTTTGAATTCGACGTCGAAAGCTGACACATCCTCGCAAAATTTCAGCTGCCCAAAGAGAGGCGTTTCGAAGGGTTCCAACAGTCTGTCGTACTCCCACTCCAGCACTGTTGCCTTTGGCGCATAAGTATCGAGTGATAGACTTTTTGTGGTCACAATTTTTGCTTGTAGAAGGCGCTCGAGCAGGCTGTTTTTGTTAGAGTTATTTCAGTTTCCTTCGGCAATACGTACCGTGCAGCTTGTAGAACGTCCTTCTTTCCATCGACTGGACTTGCTGTCATGCCGAATATCTTGGGTCGCAAAGATGGGCTGCTGGGCTTAAAGTAGTGATCTCTGATTATCCTATAGCAACCTTTCAGCCCTCGTCAAGCATTTCAATGATAACTTACGTGGCGTATGGATGATCTTTCTTTGCATGATGCGCTTCATCGAATATGATAAGGTTAATGTCTTCCATCTTGATATAAACATGATTGAGGCATTGATCTAGGATGGCTGCCGTGCAGACAATGACTTGATGAGTGTTAAGCAATCCGTTCCATTCTTGTTGGCTCCAGCTGTCGAATTTTCTGCCATGAACTAATGCTGGCATTGCCGTCAGATTTTCACAAAGCACTCGATGTTGCTGCTCTGTAAGAGCAACACTGGGCGTCTGTGATGCGCTTTACGTCAGTCCATATTATGTGCAGCTGCTAGATATGCCCTACCAAGAAGAAAGAGGTTCTGGGAGATCTGCCGGCAGCCCGATCGTCCATCTCCTTACTTACTGTCTCTCTAAGCAGAAGAGCAGCTATGAGTGTCTTTCCAGAGCCTGTGTCAAGGACTGCGATGATATTTCCGGCCTTGGCTCGAGCGAAGAGTTCACTTTGGTAATCTCTGACATGGTCAATAATTCTCCGACCGTTGGCACATGCTAGTATATTGATCTCGTCGACTGAGTGCATGGAGTCCTCCTCTCCTTGCAACCTCTCCTGTAATTGAGACTCATCTTTTCCACGGACATAATCTTCGAACACGGCATTTTGTGCCTGTTTCCTTTGAGAACTAGTCAGCAGCGGACCAGGTACATCCGCGACGTTTTCGTCATCGTCTGTGTCGCTGTCATCAGCAATCAGCTCCGGATCATATAGAATTCTCGTGGAATTGGCATGAACTGAGCTTTTGTGGGGATGTAGAGTGTTGAGCTCCTGTGGTGCATTCACGCTCTCAGCGTCACTCATCGACGGTGTCGGGGCCAGATCAGCCTCCGGCTGTGGTAGAAGCTCTGGATTGATAACACAAGTCATGTTTGCAATGCGATGGCAAGCATAGCTAGCCTGTAATAATCATAAAGAGGTTACATGAAGTTCTCTTTCACGAAGAAAACTGGTTCAAATCAGATATGGTCATGACTTGGAAGCGAAGACAACAATGAGCTTGAGTAGCAATGAGTGTGAGTTATGAAACAAATTTATGGTTAGAGCCTGACGAAAGTTTGACATTGAATCTGAGGGTGTTTGCTGCGGCCCACAGTGGTGAAGGAACGACAATTACATTGCCATAGTAGGCTCGGTCACAGCGGCCAAATTCAGGCTGCGCCTGGCGCAGAATGCTGGAGAGACTGCAGTATAAGCTCCGCGACCAGAGCACCTAGATCGCATTCGCTGACATTCAGAGGTTAACATGCAATATTCTTGAGCAAAGCCTGGATGAAGAAAAGACCTGCCTTGGTGTGGATGAATGACTAGTGCGATGGGTGGGGCATAAATATTGATAGGCTGGTGCTGGTTATCCCATACCAAAACCGTTCTTCACACATAAAATAGGAATCTATATAAAATTGTACATAGCTCTACACAAGTCAAAACTTATTAAGAAAAGTATCGCTAAAGATTTTATACACCTATCAAATGTTTTTACAAGCAGAATTCCTATTTTCAGTATCTCCATCAGTCAAGATTGCTGTAAGATAACGGCCCGAAGGTTTACGGAATACAGAGTACGTCGTAGCCAATGAAAGTGTGTGGCGCTGTATCGTAAAAAACTGATTCTAGCGCCAGTTCAACTGTATTTATGCCCCCTCCCTAGTACGTAGTAAGCTCTATCTCTCGACCTACTGAACGTAAAGACAATTCTGATTATGGAGGTTCTGGAACCCAAATCTTCATTGGAGGCCATCGTATCTCTATGGACTTCATAGTCTTTCTTCTGTGTTAGATCGATCTCTCATTATGGCTGAGTCTCGACCTAGCCTTCGCTCCCTCTTCCTCTCGGCAAGATCTAAGGAAGCAGAACTTCAGCATGTCGAGAATTCGAACAGCGCCTATCAAGAACTCTTCCAACTTGCCGCATCTACATATGAAGAGTGCCGAGATTTGATAGAGCGACTGGCAATATTCAGCCGTAATGAAACAAATGAAGACATAGCCACTTCTGCAATACAGTGAGCATCTATCCACCTTCTATTGACTCATGTTTAAGTTTCTGTAGGTACTTGAGCGTGGACTATCTGCTTGCGGAGCTTCTCTTAAAGGCCTATGGCTCAAACAGGCAGAAGCTCTTACAACAAGCTTCGAGCTTGCTGGAAAGTTTCTTGAACAGGCTAGATTCCTACGAGCTGTTGTCTAAGCAGAACAGACGATTACTTGATCAGTATCAAGAAAACCGAGAGAACTTTCATTTAGCTTCGACAACTGACGCAGCCGAACGTAGACGTGTCAAAGTGGCAAGGTTTCAGGAGGAGAAAAGCTTGAAGACAAAGCTCGAGGTACTTGAATAATCTGAAAGACATGTACTCGTTCTGACAAGCGAATAGCTGTTGAGGGACAAGTCCGCACAGAGTTCTATCGATGAGGATACAACGCGGCAACTGTATTTCACAGAGCTTGAGCTTTTCGCAAACCAGAGTTTTCAATCACTGGATATGATTGTTCAAGAAAGCTTGATTCTGTTACAAGCTCAATCAGAATCCCAAAGCTCGCACCCCATATTGGATATACGGGAGAATGGTCGGAGCGATTCTGATGGTTACTCTGAACGGCTTGATGGATCTGTCTCTCAAATTGCGCGTGGAGGTCCTTTATTAAGCAAAGAGGGCAGACCGCTCCAGCCATTCACCATCACCGATAAGCGGAGCCAGCTCCGTCAGGGCGTCTTTCAGCCAGGTCATAACTTACCCACAATGACCATAGAGGATTACCTTGAAGAAGAGAAGCGGAGAGGTGGAATCGGTGACGACGGTGGTGAGAGGCAAAAGCCTCCTGTAGAGCCAGATGAGGACAACATCGAGTTGGCAGACCAGGAGACCATGAAGGCTAGAGCGTGGGACGAGTACACTGAAGCAAATCCAAAGGGATCGGGAAATACATTAAATCGTGGTTGACGCTTTTGTATGCTCATTCGCAGCGTCCCTTGCTCGCAACAGTGATGTTATGATCTTGCTCCATCGTCATCACGTGTGGGCAGCTAGAATAAACGATGTGGATTGTTTCAGCTACCTTTCACCCGATCAATGGCTCACGAGGATTGAAGTGCGACAGCTGCTCCATATGCTCCAGGCTTTGGATCTATGACTGCGCAGCCTACAACAGGCCCAGCAACGATCTGATGAACGATCGATCCACTCATTCTCGGAGATCAACGACTTCGGTCCTTTTCTTTGCTTTTATGGCGTCTAATATCTTATCGGCACCTTTCGCGACCAGAGCATTGGCGACTTTTATACCAAAGCTGTCAGCGGATTCTGCTGTCATAATATGCTCCTCCATCTCTATTTCTACACTTTCTTTTCCGTTTACACTGACGACGATTGCTCTCATCACGAGTTTTGGGCCCTCCTCACACCCTGTTATCCACTCTGTCTCCACGCCTACAGGAGCACTGCATCCTCCTTCCAGCGTCCTCAACAAACTTCGCTCGGCGAGACAAGCAAAGCTCGTCGAGTTGTTATTAATCTTCTCAAGGATTTGCGACATCTGGACGTCCTTTGCACGGCTCTCAATCCCGATTGCACCTTGGCCCACAGCGTAGAGCATACCTCCATTTTTCGAGGTCAAGAATTCAGAAATGCGGTGACCTAGATCAAGTCTTATGAGCCCCGCAGCAGCAAGTATCAATGCGTCAAAGGGACCGTCATCTTCATCAAGCTTTTTTAGCCGAGTTGGCACATTTCCTCTTACATCCTGTACGCGCAGATGGGGATGTCTGAGAGCGATTTGTGCAGCCCTCCGTATCGATGACGTTCCAACCACCGAACCAGCTGGTAGATCTGCTAGCCCGCATTTCGTACGACAAGTTTTGAGCACGAGTGCATCTCGTGGGTCCTCACGGTCCAGAATCGCTCCAAGCCCACAATCTGCCGGTAGCTGAGTGGGCACATCTTTTTGTATGAGTAGACGCTGCCACTGTCCGAATCAAATGGCTTACCTTTCAAAGAGTGCACCAGCAGGTCCAGTTTCTCCTCAACCAGAGACTGCTCCAAGTCGTGCGTCCACAGATTTTTAACTGGCATGTCCTTGAATGGAGTCACTTTGTCAAGATCGCCAGCGGCGGTATCCCTTGGTCGGACATTAAATTGATATTCTGGCCATGCTTCTTTCAAGGCCTTGACCACGATTTCTGTTTGCAAAAGTGCAAGCTGAGACTTTCTGGTCCCAATTTCAAAACTTTGGGTGTTCTGTGACGTGGGAGGCATGATACGTGGAACACTCTGCGATTCTTCTGCTATAATATTGGCGAGCGATGTAGTAAGTTTGAAGTAGTGCTCGCTGGATATCTGCGTAAGTTTGGTACCTGAACACGATACGGACTACCGTCTGATAGAACAGAACTTCAATGCGACAAGTAATGTAGAATGCCAAGCCTTAAATAGCTAGAGGCTGAGATCGACAGCCGACTTTCAAATGTATGATGGATTTGGGACTGCATCAGACCTCGGCAGCGCATCATGCATTACATACTAAAGCGTACCACTTAAGATGTCCATCAATCTCTAGAAGTTTGCACGCAGCACTCACAGAGTGGTGTGCTCGCTGTCTACTTATTGCCTAGATCAAGGGTAGTTCTTCATCTCTGCTCTACGCATCGAATCGAAACGATATGGGCTACGGGATATCCACCACAATCCCCCTCATCCCTCTACCGAAGGATTCAGTACTCCTTCCTGGGGTCACTCTTCGTATTCCCATTGCTACTCGCCCTGATATCCCGATTCTTCTGCAATCAGCATTCTCGCAGGCTGCAGCGTCGAGAAAGGGCACTCCGATCACTGTGGGTTGCGTTCCCTTGAAATCACCGTACCTGAGCTGTGATGGTCAACAGCTGCTAGAGAGCAAGCGAGATGATCGGGTCAGGCGACTAAACACCGAACCCGATCCAGAGAAAGCATCGAAGGATGATTTGTTTCGATACGGGACGGTTGCAAGATTGATAGGAGTACAAGGACGATCCAACGCAGAACCTTCGTTACTGGTAGAGGGCATACAGAGATTCCGGATCGATCAAGTTTCACAACGCAAACCCTACTTGCAAGCAGATGTGACCATCTACGATGAAGATCTTCCTGATGAGCAAGATGCAGAGCTCCGAGCCAACTTCCACCAACTGAAGCAACTTTCGCGAGAACTCGTCGCGTTACTACGGCTGACAGCGCTTTTTCGCGGATCTTCTTCGTTGTCACCCCTTGTCGCAAGACGTTTCGAGTTTTTCATTGCGAAGAAAGAGTTCGCTCAAGCTGGTTCTCTGGCAGATTTCATGACAGATATGGTAGACGGCAGCTTTGAGGAGAAGCTGCGTGTACTCGCCAGTCTGGATTTGAATCAAAGATTGGAGAGGGTGCTAGATTTGGTGGATAGACAGGTTTCAGGCATCAAGAGCAACATCAAGATCACCTCCATCACGTCCACCTCGGTCCCAACGAACATGGGCATCGATGTCTCCCAGCTCGACCAAAAGCAACGTGAAGCGCTAATGAAACGTGCCATGGCAGGTTTGAGTGGCGCCGGTATGCCGGGATCAATAGGCGGTGACCAAGGTGAGGACAGTGATGTTAACGAACTCGATGAGCTCAAACAACGACTCGAAAACGCAGGGCTCTCCCTCGAGGCACAGAAAGTTGCGGATCGGGAAATGAAGCGCTTGAAGAAAATGAACCCTGCCAACGCCGAGTATGGAGTGTGCAGAACTTACTTAGAGAATCTTGTGGAGATACCTTGGACGAAAACTACAGACGACGTACTAGGAGCAGACAGTTTGACCAGGGCTCGCAAACAACTTGATGACGATCATTATGGCTTGGAGAAGATTAAAAAGAGGCTGCTTGAGTATCTCGCTGTCCTTAAACTGAAGCAGGCAATGAACGCGGACATCGATGCTCAAATCTCAAGGCTGACAGGGGAACTTCAAAATCTTGAGAAAAGCGGAGATGAGGACGCCCAATCACGGAACAATGAGGCTGGTGCATTGCAAATCAAGCTTCGTATGCTTCAGGAACGAAAAGCGGTGGACAAGTCCCCTATACTTCTTCTACAAGGACCGCCTGGTGTTGGTAAGACCAGCCTCGCGAAATCGGTGGCAATGTCACTTGGCAGAAAGTTTCATCGCATCTCTCTAGGCGGCGTACGAGACGAGGCGGAGATCAGGGGTCATCGTCGAACTTATGTGGCGGCAATGCCTGGTCTAATTGTCAATGGGCTAAAGAAGGTTGGTGTCTCAAATCCTGTCTTCCTCCTCGACGAAATCGACAAAGTCGGCGGCTCGAACTTTCACGGAGATCCGTCTGCTGCAATGTTGGAGGTCCTAGATCCCGAGCAGAATCACACGTTTACGGATCACTACGTCAACATTCCGCTCGATCTCAGTAAGGTTTTATTCATCGCCACGGCAAACACATTGGAGACGATTCCGCCTCCTCTTTTGGATCGAATGGAAACGATTACCTTGTCCGGTTACACCACAATCGAGAAGCGTCATATTGCGAAGCAACACCTGATCCCGAAACAAATCAAGACCAATGGTCTTGATAGCGGTCAAGTTGAGCTCCCTGACGAGGTTATCGACACAATTGCGACATCCTATACACGAGAGTCTGGAGTCAGGAACCTCGAGCGCGAGATTGGCTCTATTTGTAGATACAAAGCTGTTCAATATGCCGACGCAAAGGATGCAGGCAAGCTTGAAAATTACAAGCCTCACGTCTCGGTGGATGAGTTAGAAGACATCCTCGGCATTGAGCGCTTTGACGAGGAGATAGCAGAGAAGGACTCACGACCTGGCATTGTCACTGGTCTTGTCGCATACTCCACAGGAGGCCAGGGTAGCATCCTCTTCATTGAGGTTGCGGATATGCCAGGAACCGGCCGCGTCCAGTTGACTGGGAAGCTCGGTGACGTGCTGAAAGAATCCGTTGAGGTTGCTCTGTCATGGGTGAAAGCTCATTCCTACGACCTTGGGCTCACCCACGACCCGAACGAGGATATAATGAAGAGCCGCAGCGTACATGTGCATTGCCCTTCGGGCGCTATACCCAAGGATGGTCCTTCGGCAGGCCTAGCTCATACTGTAGCGTTGATCTCGCTATTCTCGGGAAAGGCGGTACCCCCACAGATTGCGATGACAGGTGAGGTCTCGCTTCGTGGAAGGGTAATGCCTGTGGGTGGAATCAAGGAGAAGTTGATTGGGGCTCACCGGGCGGGTGTGAAATCGGTATTGCTTCCAGAGCACAACAGGAAGGATGTCAAGGACGTGCCGGTCGAGGTCAAGCGGGACTTAGAGATTGTCCATGTAAAGTAAGTTTTAATGCTCAAGTGTGAAAGGTCAATTTCTAACTTCAGCTCAGGCATATCTGGGAGGCTATACGGTTTATATGGCCGGATTCGCACTGGGCAGGTGATCAGCATTTTGCCAGCATTGAGAGTCGGCTTTAGACGCATAAGCGACGGCGGACTAGTTTGTCGTTTCGGAATTTATGATTGATTTCTGCATAGCGTCAAGCATAGGTTGTATCATCACTTAGCACCACACAATTTGTTTGAGAGCAATCCGGTCGTAACCTTCAAACAACAAGCCTCCGACTTGATTGTGCCTATAGGTATACATACAACTGCTATAATACAACAGCATGACGCACTTCCAAGGCCTTATCGATATAACTCCATATGTGATGCTTGACTGCGAAACCAAAATCAAATGGTTCCTCGTATTCCTGGAGATCGAGATGTCCCCTGCATGACTCTGGTATCTGTTGGTATCGACTGCCACGACGGTCTCCATCTTTGTCTCCCTTGGAGAAAGTCCTGCGCCTGCTCGGCAATACCCTCTCTCCTTTTAAGATCCGGCTCCATCGGAGGCTGTATTGCCCGTGACTCTTCCTTGGACAGCTCCTGATTCTGCTTTAGCTCTTTCTTGAAGGTCTCCGACTCCCATCTATTGAGATTATTGTTAGTGAATCGTTGCGGCGTATAGAGGGAAGGAGGCATGGTAGACATACGGGGACAGATCTTTCTCTTCCTCGGGATAGATGAACGGATCCACAAGCTCCACTGTCATCCTCTTGCGTGCCTGAGGACGGAACAGTCTTCCTGGAGTCCGACTTCCGGGACGCTGTTCTCTTTCAACTTTCGATTGCTGGACATAGCTTCGGATGTGGAGAACGTCCACATTGTAGACATTTTTCAAGTAGTTTTTAAAGTCCAGCTTATTGAACCACAACGGGACCCAAAAGGAAGCATACTTTGGTGGATGATGAGGTGTACGCATCAACGTAACTACAAAGTTTGGTCTAGTATATGGTCAATCGCTCTGCTGGAAGGATGGGGAAAGTAGGAAGTGGGTAGTACAGGAAGACTTGTTTCCGGAGTTCGAGGGGAACGTTCTTCGGTCGACTGAAAAAGCGTGGAGTATTGTGTAAAAGTTGTTTGATTATCTGTTCCTGCTGTTCGGATGTTCCTGCGAGTTTGTTTGCTTTAAGATCGTCAACGAATTTAACGACATCCTCTGTCAAAATTTGTCTCCAGCCATCCGGTCGACTCTGCAGTTCGAGGCGTTTTCGATAGGATAGTGGGTTTTTATGGAATACTCGTCTATGAGCGTTCCATAGGCGCATCTTTGAACGGACTGATGCGGTTAGGTGACCTATATATGATAGGCAAGATCGTAATCGTGAAGCTCTTCGCCCATCATGAACCGGAGCTCATCATCTACGCCGCAGTCACGCTAAGATATTTAAGGTTTCTATGCTTGCTGTTGAGCCGCAGAGGCAGTGCGGACTACCTAAGTTACATACGTGAGCTTTTAGCTGCCTTCATCACCTCGTTCCAAACTCACATATCACGGTACTCTCTAACCTCGTCTCCTATTCACCTGTTATCTTGTTCCATCACATCCACGTCAGAGGCTTCGGACCTTCAGCGCGTTTATCCGCCACAGTTGCTGAAGCAGTTCTCCGTCAACATCGGGTTTGGAAATGGCGCAAGATGAGGAGCGGCCGACCGCCGCGGAAAAGGGAAAGGGGAAGGTCGACGACATAAACGGAGAGAAAGGGAAAGGAAGGACTGCCCCTGAAAAAGATGGCAAGCCAACTGTTAATGGCAAGGTCATCGAAGGCTTGCCCGAAGGTAAATATATCATTATAGCATTTGAGATTGAAGCTAGCCAGTCATCGAAGGCTGACATCTTGCAACCAGATGAACTCAATGAGGAAGACGCGCAGCTGAAGTCAGAGCTCGAGATGCTGGTAGAACGGTTACAGGTCAGCTTATGCCGAGCCCATGATGTTATGTGCAAGAGAAGCTGCTGATCCTCGATTTCCAGGAGCCTGATACAAACCTCTACAAACCCGCACTCGATGCCATCAAGAACTTCATCAAGACCTCGACATCTTCCATGACAGCAGTCCCGAAGCCGCTCAAGTTCCTCAGACCTCATTATGACGAGCTTACAGCAGTCTACGAGAGATGGCCATCGGGCCCCGACAAAGTGAGCGTTATGATCTATCAAATCTGCATGGGATACTAAAAGCTATCAGGATTCATTGGCGGATATGCTGTCTGTTTTGGGCATGACATATGGCGATGAAGAAAAGCTGGAAACTTTGAAGTACAGGTTATTATCACAATCCGACGATCTTGGATCATGGGGTCACGAATACATTCGGCATCTTGCCCTCGAATTGGGTGAAGAATATCAAAATAGGCTGACGGACGACAAAGATGTACAAGATCTGGTTGATTTGGCACTTTCGCTTGTCCCCTATTTCCTGAGTCACAATGCGGAAGCAGATGCTGTGGATCTGCTGAGTGAGCTTGAGATGATTGAGAAGATACCGCAGTTTCTCGACGAGAATAACTTCTCCAGAGTCTGCCTGTATATGGTCAGCATGGTCAACCTCCTCACCTATCCTGAAGACCACCAATTTCTGAGAACAGCCCATGACATATATGTTCAGTACAACAAACTTGCCCAGGCAGTTGTCATCGCCATCAGGCTCAATGATCTCGATCTGATTAGGAAAGATTTTGATTCGACTACGGACGCGGCGTTGAAGAAGCAGATGGCTTTCCTGGTCGCTCGACAACAAATATGGCTGGATGTGTCTACAGAGACAGAGGAGGATCAGGAGCTTGCGGAGTGCTTGAACAACGTTCAACTCCCGAATCATTTCAAATCGCTTGCGAAAGAACTAAACATACTAGATCCGAAGATGCCTGAGGATATTTACAAAACTCATCTAGAGAATAACAGAACAGGCGGCACATCAGCAGAGTCTGCACGACACAATCTGGCGAGTGCATTTGTTAATGCTTTCGTGAACGCTGGTTTTGGCAACGATAAGATGATGCTTGTGGAAGGCCATGAAACATGGGTTCGGAAAACAAAGGACGATGGCATGTTGTCGACAACAGCCTCGATGGGCATGCTTCTACAGTGGGACGTCGAGGGCGGCCTTGATAAGATTGATAAATTCAACTACGCGGAAGATCCTATTAGTGCCGGCGCCCTACTTGCTACCGGCATTTTGAACTCTGGCGTACGTATGGAAGCTGATCCAGCATTGGCACTGCTTGGGGATGCAGACAACCTACAACATAAGAGTACTTCGATGAGGATGGCGTCCATCATGGGTCTGGGATTGTCACACGCAGGTTCGAACAAAGAGGAACTTCTTGACCTTCTGCTGCCCATCGTCGAGGACTCGTCGGTGGATATGCAGCTCTCTGCCATGGCGGCGGTCTCCTTGGGAATGATCTTCGTCGGTTCTTCGAATCATCAAGTCAGTGAAGGTATTGCAACCACACTTATGGATGAGGACCGGCAAAAGCAGATGAAGGATAAGTGGACACGGTTCTTGGCCCTCGGTTTAGCATTGCTGTACTTTGGGAAACAGGAGCAAGTCGATGTGGTCCTTGACATCCTAAAAGCTATCGACCATCCTATGGCGAAACCAACTGCAGTTTTGGCCTCTGTCTGCGCCTGGGCTGGGACCGGAACTGTTTTGAAGCTCCAAGAATTGCTCCACATCTGCAACGAGCACATTGAAGACAAAGATGAGAAGAAAGGGGAGGAGCTTGTGCAGTCGTATGCAGTGCTTGGTCTGTCATTGATTGCGATGGGCGAGGACGTTGGGCAAGAGATGGTTCTCCGTCAATTTGGCCATCTGATGCATTATGGTGAAGCCAATATTCGCAAAGCTGTCCCCCTTGCCATGGGCTTGATCAGCCCCAGTAACCCTCAGATGAAAGTATATGATACGCTGTCGCGGTATAGCCACGACAATGACAATGATGTGGCTGTCAACGCGATATTTGCCATGGGCTTGGTTGGTGCGGGCACCAATAACGCCCGTCTGGCTCAATTATTACGACAATTGGCCAGTTACTATCACCGTGACCCGAACTCATTGTTTATGGTGCGGATAGCACAAGGTCTGCTACACATGGGCAAAGGCACTATGTCGGTCAACCCGTTCCACACCGATCGACAAGTTCTCTCAAGGGTAGCTGCTGCTGGTCTGTTGACAGTTCTTGTGTCATTGATCGACGCAAAACAATTTATCCTTGCCGAATCGCATTATCTCCTGTACTTCCTCGTCACCGCCATGCATCCTCGATTTTTGGTCACACTTGATGAGAATCTCAAGCCATTGACTGTTAACGTCCGGGTCGGTCAAGCGGTGGACGTTGTTGGTCAAGCCGGCAGACCGAAGACTATCACTGGCTGGCAGACCCAAAGTACGCCGGTGTTACTAGCATACGGAGAGCGAGCAGAGCTTGAGGATGAGGAGTATTTGTGCTTGAGTAGCACTCTTGAAGGACTGGTGATCTTGCGCAAGGTTTGCTTTTCCCACCAAAACCTCCTATATGACCTTATGCGGACTGACTTTTCTTTACAGAATCCAGAATGGGAGGATACCTCGAAGTAACCTTTTTTCACTATTCTCGCCGGCCCCTCCTCTTGTGGTATACAAGGCCAAACACCTCTGTTGGGCTTTACCTTGCACAACTTGAGAACAACAATTGCCCATGAGGGGACCAGGGCAGCTCAATATGCAGCTAAACAGTAGAATTAGAGGTAATGACCATCAGACCGAGAGTATATTCGCCCCGGTCAAAAACTTGTGAACCATCTAGAGCTGTTACTTTCGCCCGTAGTCTTCCAGTTTCATTCATTGCGTCAACGCACCCCATAGACTTTGACCACTTCTAAAGCATAGTATTGTCCAACATTGTTTAAACCGGTTGCGGAGGGTATAGTTAGATTCGTATTCACTTACTAATCCTATTTGCGCCTCGACTCCTGTAATTTTGGCCAATGGTTTCTCGGATCCAAATACACCTACCTTGCAAGTCCAATATTATCGCAGCGTCTGACGTAAACCATCTCACCTGACTAAGACAAGTAGTGGGACCTTTGCTTCGAAATTCTGCCTACAAGTTCCGGGAATTTTTGTACGAACAGTCATTGATTGGTTTCTGGCCAGGAAATTCTCAGGGATATGAAACTCGACACCAAAGCCCTGCGATATCTGACCAACGACGACTGGCGTGTGCTGACCGCTGTATGTGTCCCGGGTAAATTCTGTGGGGATGTAAATGCACAATTTGTATGCTGACGCTCCAGGTCAGGTCGAGACGGGAAGCAGAAACCATGAAGTGGTGCCCACCAGCTTGATCGGCTCGATATCCGGCTCGAAGGGAGGGCTACAGCGATGCATCTCGACTCTTGCAAAGGCGAATTTGATCGCGAAAGTGAAGAACGCAAAATGTATCTCGTATTATCTTCTTCTTCTTCTTCTTCTTCTTCTGCTGGTCGCTTACATAAACGAATTCCTACTTAAAGTGGTTTGCTAGCTAACCTCCATCGTGCCAAAAAAAAAGATGACGGCTACCGGCTCACCTACGGCGGGCTCGACTACCTAGCCCTACACGCGCACCAGAAGCACGCGACCGTCTACTCGGTCGGCAACCAGATCGGCGTCGGCAAGGAGTCGGACATCTTCGTCGTCGCCGACCCGGCCGGCAAGCAGCTCGTGCTCAAGATCCACCGGCTGGGCCGGATCTCGTTCCGCACCGTCAAGTCGAATCGCGATTACCTCCGCAAACGGAGCTCCGGGTCGTGGATGTACATGTCCCGGCTGGCTGCGGTCAAGGAGTTCACGTTCATGAAAGCGCTCGCGGGCCAGGGCCTCCCGGTGCCGGAAGCGGTGGCCCAGAATCGACATACGATCGTCATGGGCCTGGTGGATGCGTTCCCCCTGAGACAGATTTCCGAGGTGCCGGATCCGGCGCGGCTGTATGCGGAGTTGATGGAGATGATCTTGCGGCTGGCTGGGCTGGGGCTGATCCATGGCGATTTCAATGAGTTTAATATCTTGATCAAGGAGGAGAAAGAGGAGGAGAGAGAAGTGCCAGCTGCAGATCGGACTGACGCTGAACAACAGCAGCCGCAGCAGCAGCAGCAGAATCCGCCGATAAAGTTGGTGCCCATTCTCATCGACTTCCCACAAATGGTATCGATCGACCATCCGAACGCCGACTTCTACTTCGACCGCGACGTCTCCTGTATCAAGCGCTTCTTTGAACGCCGCTTCCATTTCCGGAGCGACGAGCCCGGTCCGCATTTCGCCGAAGCGAAGGCTCAACTCCGGGGAGGGGATGTCAAGCGTCTGGATGTCGAGGTTGAAGCGTCGGGTTTCTCGAGAAAGATGGCGAGAGAGTTAGAGGCTTATATGCAGGATGTGGGCGTTGATGGGGATCACCAGGATGTTACGAATGAAGAAGAGGAAGGTGGTGGTGGTGGTGGGTCTGTAGGATCGGGTCCGGAAGAGCTTGAGGATGAGGATGAGGACGAGGATGCATTGGACAAAACCCACTCGTGAGTCAACAAGAATCGGAGCCTGAACGCAGCGAAACTGTGTGGCAATGCAAAATTGGTCATGTAGGGTTCAATCGGCCGGGAACATGCAACAATCAATCACATCTGGAGACGCTGGCCTGCGAGATGGCTGGCGACCTTCTCCTCTATACCATGCCCGTGAAAGCCGGCGAGCAAAGCGTGCAGGGCGGGTTGGACCGCACTTCAATTTTCCAGCCGTGATCAAAATCCTCATACGCAGGGCCGACTGGCTTAACCCCTCGCTATGAGAGTGGACGAAAGCCTTCATAGAGTGGAGTACACGTGCTCACTACTCCAATTCCCATCATCTTCTCTCTAAATTAGCTTCCGTTCACGCTCGCGCTTTGAGCATGGACTGTCAGTAGGCTGCCTATCCAACAGCCTGTCACAGATAGTCCAGTACAGAAAGGGGTCTAGGGACACGGCGACGTGGGCGGGAGACATCGATTTCTTGGAAGGTCCGCAGGAAGGCCAAGGCCACAAGGGAAGGATGCTCACACCAGGAGATACACGCGACAGCAGAGAGGAGCTGTCCTACAAGGTACCTTTCCCGGACCGAGTTCAGGCGTCTTGGGCAGCGAGGTAGTGTACTCAGCCATTGTTCAGTAGGGGGGGCAGTGTGCCTGTCTACCTGCCTACCCACTGTGCCTGATCTCTAGCTCAATCAGCAAGAACGTGCAATGATCTGTTTACCTGCTCATCACGAGTTCGGGCCGCTGGGAATGAGATGAACAGCTACTTTGTATGTTATACAGTTGCTCTAGTCAGCCCGAAGCTTGGCGCCAAAATTTATGAGACTTCTCAGA